AATAGAAATCAAAACCACGAGATATCATCTTATCCCAGTTAGAGTGGCTAGTGTCAAAATGACAAAAAAATTAATGCTGACGAGTGTGCAGAGAAAGAAAAAGTCTTGTTACAGTATTGGTGGGAATGAAAACTAGCACAGCCATTATGGAAAATAGTATCGAAATTCCTAAAAAAAAAAAAATTGAAAATAGAGCTTCAGTATGATCCAGCAATCCCACTTCTAAATATTTACTTGAATGAAAGAAAATTAGTATTTCAAATAACTGTCTGCACTCCCGTGTTTATTGAGGCACTGTTGACAATAGCCAAGATATGGAATCAACCTAAGTGTCCATCAACCGGTGAATGGATAAGGAAAATGGAGGACATAAACACAGTGAAATACTCAGCCTTTTTAAAAAAGAAATCCTGTCATTTGCAGCAGCATGGATAGCCTGGAGGACGTTCTGTTAAGTGAAATAAGACAAGCACAGAAAGATGAATACTACATGGTCTCATTCATAATGCGGGAACTAAAAAAGAGTTGAGCTCATAAAGTAGAGAGTAGAATTGTGTTTATGCAGTCAAAAAGGATAGGGAGGGGGGAATAAGTTCTAGTGTTCTACAGAACTGTATGGTGACTATTGTTAATAATAACTAACCGGGCTCGGTGGCTCAGCCTGTAATCCCGCACTTTGGGAGGCTGAGGTGAGTGGATTGCCTGAGCCCGCGGGTTCGAGACCCGCCTGGGCAACCTGGCGAGACCTCATCTCTACAATTAAAAAAAAAAAATTAGCCGGGCATGGTAGCGCGCACCTGTAGTTCCAGTTACTTGGAAGGCTGAAGCGGAAGGATCGCTGGAGCCTGGCAGGTCAAGGTTGCGGTGGCCGGGAGCAGCCACTGCACTCCAGTCTGGGCGACAGAGTGAGACTCCAACTCAAAAAAGATAAAAATAAAAAAATAACAATGATTTATTGTATATTGTCTAATTGTTGGAAGGAAGGATTCTTAATGTTCAAAGCATAAAGAGATGTTGAATGTTTGAGGTGGTGGACTTGCTAATTAACCTGATTTGGTCCTTACACATTACATACATATAGTTTAATTATTAGTAATTAAACTAAAGATTGGGAGTGAATGGTCTGAATTTGGTGCCTGAGATGTGAGTCCTCATTCTGGCTCTGACACAAATGAGCTGTGTGACCTTGGGAAAACGACTTTCTCTCTGGACTTCAGTCTCCTACCTTTAAAGTAAAGGGCTATTATATTATGTACTGTACATATGACATAGAAGAGAATGGGTCTACGAAGTGCACACTATAAAGCATTTAATTACATGGAATTATTTTCATAATTTTTACTAGGTGCAAAGATAGCTTACAAAACGGTATGAATCATGCTATCCTAAACTGGTAAAACTATTCTTGAATGGAATAAAAGGAAGTAACATTAGTTGACTCCAAAACTTTAACCATTGTTTTCTCTGGGTGATAGGTTTATATATATAATTTGTATTAGTTTCTATTAGTTTCACTATAATTAGCATAAATATTTCCGCAATGACTAACACTCAAATTAAATATCCATTTTTATGATACATCAAATAAGATGATCTCTAAAGATTGTTATAACCCTGAGAATTACATTCGTCTACATGTGTTTTCACTTAACAGTGTTCTTTTCTATTAGCATAGGGAGATGGTAGTACTAACTCAATGATTTTATTCATACAGATAAATCAGTTCAAAATGCCCTTGGCTTTAAGTCACTGACACTCAATATTAAGCAAAATATTGCATTATGGTACCGATTTCAGCCATTTGGCTCTCTTTGAAAGTTCTTTAAGGAATCATAAAGTCACCCTCTCCCCCCAAAAAAACACCTTCTAAATTCAAACTACTATTCTTTATGGATGCTTCTCAGCCTGGCTAACTTACTATGCTTATTCTGTAGTCTCTGCTCAGGCTATTTTTTGCATATGAGATACAGTTAACGACTGCAAGATTGTTCATAATTTTCTTTTACTTTTTCATCTGAATTTTGTCTAGTCATCTTTCTATTTTTGGTCAATCACTGCCTTCAAAATGATTCAAGAGGTATTTATGTTTTCTCTTGAAAATTTGTTTCAAATGATAAATTTCTGGGCTTGAAAAAGTCTTCTATATCACAAAGAAAAAAATATCAGAAGTGCCAGGCAGAGCAGGAGTTTGAGGCAAATTCACGGGGACAACAAAACATAGGATATCTCTCATTCAAACTGAATCACGTGAACAAGTGATTTTTTAAGCACCACTACCATGAGCAATATCATGTGCCAGGTACTTCACAGGGTGACGAAAGAGAAATGTGGACCAGGCACTGTGCCAGACACAATACCATGATTTGCTCATTTGATCCTCACAATTATGGAGTCAAACACTCTTAAGGGTCATGCTCAACAAAATAAACTGAGGCTCAGAGACATTTAGTGACTTTTCCAAGGTCAAGCAACTGGCCAGTAGCAGAGCTGAGGTTGAAACCCAGGACTGCGTGAGTACAAAGCTCATGTCTTTAATATTTTTTTCAAGGGTCTACAAACTTCAGAGGCTAGAGAATCAAATGACATGAAGGAATGAAAGGGTGGTGCTGAAATGTGCCTGTCTCCCCAAAACAAGCACAATGGTGGCGATGGATGGATGGATGGGTCCTCATCCCTATGGTCACCCACAGGAGTGACCATAAGTGTCTCACAGTCCGACCTTTTTCACTTCAGTACTCATAGTGGACAACTCAATAGATCCAAGCACTCTCTCCTACTGAGTCAGCATGTGGTAGCGAACATGATATACGACATTTATTATCCCCATAGTAGAGACTCATAAACAAGTTAGCTAAACAAAATATATGTTTTGTTCCCATAGAGCCCATCCTGAAATTTTATCAACCTTTAACATTTATTGCTTGAACTTTCCTTGAACACCCAGCCTGGGCTACTTTCTCTTCCCAGGTATTCCCATGGCAACAAGGATGTATCCTTTCCAGAGTGTATCCTATTATAATATTATGTGTATATTTTATTCTTTCTCTTGCTAAAATATTTTGAGGGCCAAGACAATGTGCCTTCTTCATCTCTGTTTCCCTTTCCCTGCATATGCCTGGCACGCAGAAGATGCTCAATAATTATGTGTTTCTCTGGGGCTATAGCAACAGAAGAATGAGTATCATCTATTATTAGCATCTTATCTCCAAGGAAAGGCAGATGGAGCTAAGAATTCACGGATCTGAATCTTGTTCTGGCCCACAGAGTCCTTTGGTCCTTTTGGTCTCTATATACACAATACTTCCCTAAGAGAATGGGCATTTCCATTCCCAAATCCCTGTCCTAGCTTGGCAAGTTGGAATAGACTTGGCCCAGTATAAGCTGGGAGGATCTTTCCATATAAAACTAGACGAAAAGCTGGTTTTGGCAGCTGGGTTTACGCCCTCATTTTCCTGAGCCTTGGGCTGCCCCTGCTGGTTTCCCGCAAGAATAGAAAAGGGAAGGGTTGAGGTGACCCTGGTGCAGCATATTGTTGCTAGCTCAACTGCTAGCTCGACTCCTCCCTCCAGACACTGCATCTTATCTGTGATGCTCCCATTGTGTCCTTAAGCCACATCAGAGTTATTTTCGATTTCTCAGTATATATATGCTTGTGATTGGGAGGAGATTAAACAAGGGAATGACATGATCTGGTTTTGGTGGTAAAATCTATTCTGGCAACTGTGCAGAAAATAGACTGGAGAGGGTAACGTTAGGCTATCAAAGATCATGGATTTGGGGTTGGAAGAGGACATGGAGAGAAGTGGATGGACTGGGTATATATTTTGGTGGTTAGAAAGGACAGAATGGGGAAGGACAGTGAGGACCGACTCCTAATTTTGTTTTTGTTCTTGGCTCAAGCACCTGGGTGGATAGATGAGGTATTGTTGCTTGAGATGGAGAAACCTGGGGTCATAGAATATTAAGTGATATAAGGCAAGTTGAGAAACCCAGAGAGGTGATTTGTACTTGAGTATTTTCATTTTGAGTTTTCTTCATTAGTCACTGAAAGCCTGTCAAGGGGACAGTTTATTTCCTAGTCCAATGTTGCTTCCCCAGAGGCAATCCCTTTGTCTCCTGGCTCAGCTTGTCTTGAGAAAGGCTTCGTGCTGGGCCAAAATGAAAGAGAGAAAACATCCAGAATCAAACAAGGGATTCCCTGGCATTCTACTGAATTCCTTTGAAGGCTGAAAGTCATATGTGTTTAAATACATGCTTACAGCTGATCCATTGTCAGCTGCCTTTCAGGGTGGTCTCCTAGAGAGCTCAGGACAGCACAGGGTAAAGCACCCCAGCCTTTGCGCCCGCCTTTGGACGGCTCATTGAGTTGGGGTTCACTCCAGAAAGAGATAGCACAACAGAAATAAAAGCTCTATCAAGAGGTATAAGAATTAAAATGGGTGCAGCAACAGTCCCCAACTTATAGAATTGATACAAGGATTAAAAGGACTGATATAGGAATTAAAACAGCATTTAACTCTTAGAATTAATGTAATAATCTAAGCATGAAAGCACTTAGAATAAAGACTGTCACATAGCAAGTATTACATACTGGTCTCTTAAATAGGATAATATCTTTAAAAGTAGGGAGGAAAGATACTTGTCTTCACATGGATTTTTGTGATGAGAAAGTGTAAAAGCTCTTTGAAATCTAGAAAAAGAGCTCTGAAAATAGAAGACATTATCATTAATGTGACTGCCTATTCTAGACACTAGACTAGAATCTTCTTCACCAGGTGTATCCTGAGTGACCTCATGCCCTTGAGGTCAAAAGATCTCTGAACTGGCTGATTTGCAAACCTTTAAAATAGCCTCTAATGCAGAGGGGGTGCCTAAAAACATGTATGCTTTTCTTTTTAAACCGCTCTTTTCTGAAACTCAGTTTTCTAATGAGTCTTTTTTAAGTTCTCCAGTGGTTATTAAGAGCCATGCTGCCATTTTGCTCTTCTGTCTTCCAACAGAGATTTCCTGGGAACCAAAGAGGCATCACTGCTGCTGATGGCCATGTTCCTCCTCGCTGTGTTTTACCATGGACAGCAGGTAATCTAACATTTTGTTCTAGCTGCACTCAGTTGCCTGGCATCTTCTGTTGTCAGAAAACTGGCCCAAAGAGCTTCCACTGTTCCCTGCAGCAAATGACAGCTGCTTGCAGCAAGTTGTGATTGTTAATGAGTCAATTTCTAATAAAAACCACCTAATGGAAAACTAAGCTAGGGAAGACAATTTGCTAAGCAATGTGGTTTTGGTGCGTATCTCTTTCAAAAAGACCGTAGTCCTAATAAAAAAGGAGCTTTCTATTTCTGCCTGAGGCAAACTGAGATCCCTCCCAATTCTATTGTCTGGATAAAATGATTTCTATAAAAGTTTTGTGCTAGGCCGGGCTCCGTAGCTCACCCTGTAATCCTAGCACTTTGGGTGGCCGAGGCAAGTGAATTGCCTGAGCCCGCGGGTTCGAGACCAACCGGGGCAACTTGGAGAGACATCGTCTCTACAATAAATCAAAGAATTAGCCAAGCATGGTAGCGCGCGCCTGTAGCTCAGGCTGCTTGGAAGGCTGAGGTGGAAAGATCGCCAGAGCCCAACAGGTCGATGCCGGGGTGGCCGTGAGTGTGCCACTGCACTCCAGCCTGGGCAACAGAGTGAGACTCCAACTCAAAAAAAAAAGGTTTTGAGCTATATTAGGCAAACATTCATTCAGGTTTGAGGGTCTGCAAAGCCTGGGTTCTAATCCCAGCTCTTCCTCTCAGCAGTGCATGACCTTGGGCAAGTTGTTTATTTCAGTTGTCTCAACCCTAAAAGAAGTAATGTATCATAAATAAGGCTACACAGTCATCAGTTGAGTTTACTGGGTGCAGCATTTTGTGTGCTGCCTGGTGTGTGTATAAGAGAAGCTTCGTTACTGATTGGTCCTAATAAGATAAAAAATGTCTGCCTTATTGAGTCCCCTTCCTACAAGTCCCTAATCTTTACCAGGATCTGGAATAGGCACGGTGGGCAGAACTGCATAAAACCCCATCCCTGGTGCAGTTTCCTGGAGGAGAGCAGGAAAGAAGGCAAAAATGCTGCTGTGTCTAGAACAGACTGGCTGAAGACTTTTAAAAAGGAAATTATTTTGCATGGGAGCATCAAGACAGGCTTCACCCAAGAGGTGTCTCCTGCCCTCAGAAACCAGTGGTACTTCTTCAGGTGAACTCCAACCCATGAGTGTTCATTATCCGGGGGAGATTTTCACACACACACACACACACACACACACACACACACACACACACACAACACACACACACCCTCTCCCCCGGTAGAAACCAGACCCTACCAACCTCACTGATCTGCTCCAGATCCCAGACCATCTTTTTTCCGGTCTGTGTGCACTTCAAAAAGAATAACCAGAAAAGTAGAAAAGCAAAACAAGGAGACTGTCAGCCAGAGCAGAAATAGAAACGTATCGCTGGAAAATCACCATGGCAACGGGAGGTAACGAACCCTAGGAAACCAGGAATGAAACAACCAAAGCCCCAAGAACCTAGAAATACATATACAAAGTTATCTGTAATAAAGGGGGACATTAAAATAGAGTCAAGGAAAAAGCATGTAATATAAAAACTTGGCAAATGAAGGAAATGAGGAAAGAGTTTATATTTATTGAGTTCCCACTATGTGCCTAACGGTTTAGTTCCACTATCTCATTTAATCCTGTGAACAACCTAGAGAGGGAATTATTATAATTCATATTTTACAGATGACGAAAGTATGGCAACTCAGCTAGAAAGTGAGAGAACTAGAATTCAAATCCAGATGTCCCCAAAGCCCACCCTTTCTCCTTCATGGGGCTGGTGCGGAAAAAAGACGTCGTAGACGTCGTCTGCATACCAACACAATGACCCAGGCATTCAGTCCTGCAGTATGGCTTTGGTTTGTATTTACATTTTAGCTAAATGTATGGTGAAACAATAAGACAAATGACCCAGTCTAGCCATTTCTAAAATTCCTCATTTAGGTCTTTTCATCTGTCTGTGAGGACTGGTGTCTTGTCTTCCACGCCTTGATATACCTTCCATTTGTAGGGGAGAACTCCTCAGTCTTAAATACAAATGACAATCCACTTGAAGCCTATGAAGACAGAATCAGACAAAGCCATCCTACAGAAAACATCGTCCAATTCATTACACAGGTTTTACACTGACAAGTGAGAAATCCTCAGAAATAGCTAAGAGGACAAGTTCGGGGTGAAGGTCTTCATTCCGTGATAAGGATGTTTCGGTCTCCTCTGTCAGCTTAAGGAACTGTTTTGGGCCTGTCAGTATCCCCTTCCTCAAATGGTGCCTTTCTAACATTTGAATTCAATGTATCCCATTCTCCATTTGTCCTGGGAAAGCGGATAACCTAATTGCACTAAAATCGTTTGTAAAGTGAGAATATGTAAGTGCCTAGTGAGTATCTCAGCTACTGGGTTTAAAAGACATCGGATACTTATCCCTTTTAGAAGGGGGACCGCCCCAAACACTGAATTATCTTTTGGAGGGTGGGACCCTTGTAGTACACTCAGAATTTGTTCCTCTGGATCAGTCAACCAAAGTTTTTATCTGGAAGTCTTGAGAAGGTTGTATCACAATTTGTGGAAGAAACGTCTCAAGTTGTGGCAAACAGGTGATTGGTTCTTCCACCAAGAAGTCTGCCCACACTACCCTGAGTTTCAGCAGTTTTTGACCACAAATGATATGGCCCCTGAACTCACCCTCCCTATTTACCCAATCTCGTCCAGGGCAATTGTTTGTTTGCTTCCCGGGATGAAAAACGTCCTCAAAGGGAAATGTTTTGCTAATGTGGAAGAGGTGAAACCAAAAATGACAAGCACTACAAGCCATCAAAATTGATGAGTTCAAAAACTGTTTTGAGTAGTGGAAAAAGCATCTTGATAGGTATATTGCATCAAACGGAGAGTATTTTGAAGGTGACTAAAGTTTAAACACGAAAGAATAAATATACAATTTTTAATAAATAAATTCCAGGGATTTGGGGTCCCCCTCATATTTCTAACTGTCAAAGTGCTTTGAAATTATGTAATCGTATCCCATTACCATATCAGTTACATGTCTAGGCTTTGGAATTGGGCAGATAGGATTTAGACCCCAGCTCTGCCACTCAGTAGATCTGTGACCTTCACCAGTTAACTTTCTGAGTCGTAGCTTCCTCACCTGTAAAATGGTATAATAAAACAAATTCTTCCTTAGAATTGTTATGGTATTTTATGAGAATATGATTGTAATATATGTATCCCAGGGCCTCGCACATTTTTATATGTGCTTAAAAATTGTCAGATATTAATCTCTTACTTTAAAAATAAACCTGTGACACAAACAGACCAAACATTGTTATCCATCTGATCCCAGGACAGGAGCAGAGATTTAAGTCCCCTGAGGTCACCAAGCCTGTAAGAAAAATCAGACTGAAACAGGAATCTAAATCCTAACTCCTAGTTCCATTCTGTCTCTTCCACGTGCCACTGCCTCCCTGTGTTAGCAGTGGCTTCCTGCAGGATTGCATCACTTCAGGTGTCTTCTATCTAGAGCATCTTCAGGGTCCTGTTAACCCTGGATCAAGCCTGCCCACTGCTGGGCTTGCTACCTGCCTCCATGAGTTTCCCTCTGTGACTCAGAGGTGCTCTGCGTTTAATAAAGGCTGAATGAGGCCCACTGATGCCTGGTACGCAGAAGCGTCTGGTGGGAGCATGTGTAATTATACATCTCCAGAGTGACGGAGGCGGTTATATAACTGAATAACTGGGAAATTTCATTTTGTACATATGTGGAAGCGATATGCCAAACACTTCCTCCTCCGAGGTAGGTGAACATTCCGGACGTTGAACAGAGAGAGAAAACAGTCGGGTGCCTCCCACCTGGTGCCCGATTCACTTGCAGCCCCGGAGGTTTGGGCTTTGTCTTGGCATCTCCATTTATAACCGAGGAAACCACACCTCTATACAGGGACAGAGATTGTGAGGTCCTGTCTCCGGTCACTTACTTACGGGTCTGATAATGACAGGCACCTGGCACTGTATGGTGCAGAAGGAAAGATCCAAGCCTTGCAACCAAATACTCTTGCTCAAGTTCCAGTAGTTCGACTTTGAGAATGAGTGACCCTTGAGAGACGTAACCTCCCAGCGCTGTCATTTCTTTACCTGTATAGTGAAAAGGCCAATCGTCATCTGTCAAGACTTTGAGAACAGCTGAATGAGGTCATGTATATATGGTGGAGAGGTTAAGAGTCACAGCTGGGAGTAAAGATGCTCTTTGTTCAAAGTGAGCCTCTGAACAGGAATCTAAATCCTAACTCCAAGTTCCATTCTGTTTCCTCCACGTGCCACTGCCTCCCTGTGTTAGCAGTGGCTTCCTGCAGGATTGCATCACTTCAGGTGTCTTCTATCTAGAGCATCCTTCTGGGTCCGGTTAACCCTGGACCAAGCCTGCCCACTGCTGGGCTTGCTACCTGCCTCCATGAGTTTCCCTCTGTGACTCAGAGGTGCTCTGCATTTAATAAAGGCTGAATGGTGCCCACTGATGCCTGGTACACAGGGGCATCTGGTGGGAGCATTGTAATTATACATCTCCAGAGTGATAGAGACCTTAGGAAACTGACTTCACCTTACTGCCCCTTCAATTACCTCACCTGAAATAGAGTTGATAGTGTAATGAAGCTATTGTATGATAAATGAGCTGGAATAAAATATAAAATATATTTAAATGCCAGGCTCGGTGGCTCAGCCTGTAATCCCACGCCTTTGGGAGGCTGAGGTGAGTGGATTGCCTGAGTCCGCGGGTTCGAGACCCACCTGGGCAGGCGAGACCTCATCTCTACAATAAAAAAATCAAAAAATTAGCCGGGCATGGTAGCACGTGCCTGTAATTCCAGCTACTCGGAAGGCTGAGGCGGAAGGATCGCCAGAGCCCAGCAGGTCGAGGCTGCGGTGGCCGGGAGCGGCCACTGCACTCCAGTCTGGGCGACAGAGTGAGACTCCAACTCAAAAAAAAAAAAAAAAATAT